TTTTAAAAATTCTGCAAATGAGAGACTAATCACCTTCAGGAACACCACTGGAACTGTGGCTCCAGCTGTTTCAACTTCCTACTTAGACCCTTAGAGGAGTGATTAAAGCTGAAGTCTGAAGTGATTTAGGTGCAAGGCTTGCAGGTATTCCCTCCCCCAGCTGCCATCCTAGCAAACACTATTTTTCTCACAGGCAAGGTAACAGATCTAGCGGCATGACCATCCTTTAGCCACCCTGGTTCACAGTCCTGATGTGAGGCAAACAGCAAACAATAGTTTCATACTACATTGGTGGTGCCCAAAATACAGGTATGTTTTCTTCCCACACCCCTGGGAAAGGGTTAGGGTTCTCATGAAACTACACAGGGAAGCCCTTCTCCTTTCTAGCCCCTGTGTAACCTGAGGGCCCTTCCAGAAGAGATGTCAGAGGAAAAGCATCCTTTAACCCTTGGGTTCTCAGCAGCCTCTAGCATGGCTATCGGTATGCTGTACCAAATTACCTCCACTCACGTGGCTGAACTCCACAGTATATAATGTTCATGACATTAATACTTTCTACTAGAGCAAGTTGAAGGATGCAAGTGGAATAGGATACATTTTTTACTACAAGAATTCCTTTTTTTCCATATGTAAGGGTGAGACTCACACACAGCACAAAAATACTACAATGATGTACAAGAAAGGGACAATGCTATTGATAGTAAAAAAGTTTTTTATGTTAACTGAGCAGCATTATTCCTCAGACTTATTTAAAACTGAACCAGTTTCATCTGGCTTAAGGAATTCTGTGATACTATGTTTCTGTATCATGCCAGGAAAGATTTGCTGTGCCCCTGGAATAGGAGCTGGACTCCTGTGGATGTCATGGAGGAAGGGAGGAAGGCAGAGTAACAAGTATAATGGGACAAACAACAGGCATTCTCCAGCCCTTGCTCTTTTTGCTTGTTTGTTTGGCTTTTGTTTTGTTTTAAACTAGATTTGGATTTTACTTACATAAAAATACAGAACAAGTCTTGCTTCATCTCAGATATCTGTGGCTCTGTCACAGCAAAATAGCTGGGCTTTGTGCATTTGCTGTGTTCAGTCAGTATAGGACATAATGAGTACTAGAAAACCCATGCATGAACTTGGGGGTCTGGAGGTTAAAATACCAGATTAATCTGACCAGCTCAAACATTTCAGATAGTCACTAGGGTTGCTGAATTCTTACTCAGCTTAAACTTCAAGGGTTCAATTACTGGCTTGCCACACTAACACCAGCATTTTAGGGTTGCATGTGAGCTGCATGGAAAAGAGTTACCCACCCTGCTCCCATGTGTTTGAGCTGCTCCCAAATGTGAGATGCAATCTGGCATGCTGATCTGAGAGGACAAATTTCCCCTGAGCACAGATGATGTGACTTTGTCTTTTCAGTAGCAAAGAGTATTTTTTTATTCCCTGAAAGCAATTTTATTTCCTAAAAAGACGTGGAGGTCTGGGGCTGGGGTATTTTGGAGCCTGAGTAACACAGATTCCCCTACAATAGCATCCAGGCCCCATGGGAAGATTTGAAGATGCAGACTTGCTGTCAGTGCTAGCCCCAAAACAAGCACACAAAGTGTTTGTGAAGAACATGAGGTTTCTTTGGTCCTGCGGTGAATTTAAAGTAGAAGAAGGATTTGGGGGAAGGAAAGAAATTACAAAATGAGGGCAGCTTGTCAGTTGAGAGCTCTACCTTGAGTGGCCTCAGATAAGCCTGGTTTCCTGAAAGCAAAGGAGGATGTAAAGACACAGAGGATGTAAGGAACCAGCAAAGGATTAGGGGCTAGTTCTGGTCCCTGTTTTGATATCCCAAGAAAACACAGGAGATATTTCACTGGGACTCAGTGCCATGCCCCTGGTTTCTCATGCTAACAGAAGTCTTATCGTGACATGTAAAATTTTAATCTGATAAAATAGACCAAATATTATAGTGGTGATTTGATCTAAAATAACATAAGCCAGAGAAAACCCACTCATGAATCAGCTAATTTTTCTCTACCCACAGCCCCTTTCTACACTGCCCTGGTTTTCCCAGAGGATGCAGCACACACAGAGAATTGTATGTCCTTATCATTGTACCCCTTGTATCAGGTGTTAGTACTGTATGACAACCTTCATCAGCCCACATAGCTTCCCAATGCAAAACTGCTGCATCACGTGCCCGCACCCACTTAAACTTTGGGACTGAAACTTTTCATCATTTTCCACTGAAATGCAACTCTGGCAGAGATTTCCTCTTTCAGCATTAGCCCTTCCCAGTTCGTAGCTTCCTGCACTCTCTTTTCCATCCTGTCTCTATGGGAAAAAAATAACCCAAACAACTTACACAGAAGTTTAGCCGTTGAGTAAAATTTCACAGCTTGCTACAGGTTTCACAGAATGACTCAAAGAGCACATTAATTTGCTTTTCAGATTTTCTAGGTTTAAAAAAGAAGCGTCTGGCAAGTCCTACAATCCTTCTACAGAGCCTTGCTGGTTACGTTCCTCTCCTCGGCTAGAAACCCACCACCTCCTCCATCTTAATTTAGATTTTACTTCTGACAGAGCAACACAAGATGCACCACAGCTTTCTCAAGTGGCTGCACACTGGTCCCCATGAACAACAGCACTCCAGCGCCCAAGGAGGTTGTGGTGCAAGCTCTGTGCAGCATCGGATGGAGATGTCCTCGCTCCCTTGCAGACCCCTTGGGTTTCTCAATTTCCTGTATCTGAGCAAAGGACAGCACAGCTTTGTTTTAGCTCAGGCTGCCCTGTCAAAACTAGATTAAGCAAAAACTCCTCCAGTTTTGAAATTAGCTTCATTTTACTTTAGAGAGAGAAGAGGGGCAGAAAAGCCAGCCTGTGAGTCTCTGAAAAACTCTGATTAAATATAACTTGCTCCATAATGATTTGTTGCCATCTTTGACAAAGATGATCTGGTGCTTGCAACTTCCACTGAATTTTATTCCTATTGTAGCTGAACTTGGGGGAAGTGACAGGGGAAGGATAATAACATATCTTGGGGCTGAGAGAGAGCTGTTTTTCAAGTGAGACAGAAGCAATGAGTGCTTTGAACACCTCAGACTTCAGTGAAATCCAATTTTCTGTCACAGGTTTTGCACTGAAGCAAGAATGCTCATGGAAGTCAAAGCCCAGGATGCTAAGTGGTGTCTGTAAGCTGCATAGGAGATGAATGCTTTCTGTGCCTTGCAAATATACCCGTCAGTCTGCAGCAGGAGTGAGCAGTGAGCATTAGCCATTGGTGTGAGGCTTTGTACTCAGAGGGCTTTGCAGAGAATCCAAATTGCAGCTCACAGTTCCCTGTGAAGGCTGAAGAAAACGGCTGTGAATTCCCATGCTCGACTGGCTCAAGGATAATGCATGCCTTCAGGAGAAAGTAGAGCATCTCTGCTGAGGGAACAACTTATAAAGGCAGGCTTGGCCTTCAGCTGATAAAGTTCTGGCCAGCAAATTCCTGCATTTAACCCTTGGAGAGTCCCTTGTGCCACATCTGCTCGGAAGCTCCAGTTGGCCCTGAGACAGGCACAGGCAAGAGCCAAGGGATGGATGGAGGGAGCCAATGTTGATGGGTTACAAACTTGAATTGTTTGGGATGAGACAGCAGCCTGCAATCTTTTGACCAAATTTGTCCTGGAAAAGAACATGGTAATAACAGCAGCTGTTTTAAAAGGATAAAGGCAAACCCCAGCACTGAGGTTGGTGGTATCCCAGAATTCTTTGCAGCTTAATCACAGCAATGCAGTCAAACATGAGGGTAGTTCTTAAGGGGTATGTAATGAACATGCTGGCCTTGCAACACAGCAAACCTATAGCTGTTTATTGTTTCCTCACTGTTCTGTGGGAGTAAGACCACAGCAGCAGCAGCAGCAAGACACTGCCACCCCTGCCTCTCAGTCTGACACCCTGAAAACATTAATGAAAGAACTCCCATTGCCTTCACATTGAGGGCAGTTCCTTAAGGCAGAGGTCTTGCTCCTTGGACTGAAATATTTCATTAACTTCAGCTGAACTAGATAGAGCTAAGCCCTTGGATTGTATCCAGAAGTAACATGCATTTTACCTCCTGCCCAAATCACAAGTATAAACGAATTAGAGATACACTTTAAGCATGCAATAAACCACTCCTGGCTTAAATTTATGCAGTCTTAATAGCAGTGCATTTAGAATAAACTCCCAAGTGAGATAAACATAGTTAGAAAATAAGGCTTTTGCTCTCCTGGAAACAAAATATGTTCTTTTGTCACTACTAAATAATGAGAACATTAGTACGAAACATCAGGAAACATTAAATAAGACATGAATGAAGGATTTAGTAAAAAGGATATGTAATGGCAAATACAGGGGGCAAGAATTTGGGATTAGCCATGCCACACCAGAGACCAGGATGTTCCCCTGGTTATTGCTTCTGCCTCCCCACTTCAGGAATAGGAACCATGCACAAGCACAAAACTCTGTTTCTTAAAATAAGGTCAGTGACCTGAATGCAGGAAATGCTGGAGCTTGAAGCTTTGTTTTATTAATCAGTTTTCATGCATTTAGTTGAGGATTAACATAGGCTGCCAGCTTTATCAGCATTAATTTAGAGCACCTTGAGGTATTGAGGGCAGAGCTGTCTGCTGCTCATATAACACCAGCATGCCACCCCCACTCCCTGCCTGCTAAGGATTAAGAAACCATTAGGCCAAAATGAACACTTCAGATATGCACTGCTCATTACAGCTTTCCAGTCACAGTGGAGGGGAAAGGAAAACATGCCAAAAGCAGAACTTGCAGGTTGCTTGGCAGTCAGAGGACACTGGGACTGCGGGGCCGATCAGCAAGCCCTATGCATGTGTTCAACCTCATAACAGCCCATTACTGTAAGAATCTTTAAACAACAAGGCTGAAAAATAGCTGAGAAAGCTGAGGGATGCATCCTTTAAGCTATGATACAGACTCACAAGGCATCTGTGCAGCTCACTCCACCATGGTGCACTTACCTTCTGGGTGGCTAACTGCCTCATGCCAAACCAAATCAGCAAACCTAAATGGGCATTCACTTCCTTTCTGTCCTGCTGGTAGTTGTGATGGATTTTTTTTTGCCATGGAAAAAGTTTCTGCATTGTAACAAGCTGCATAGACCCTAAAAGCCTTCTTAGGGGCAGAAGGCACCATGGGACAGTTTGACTACAGGCTGAAATAGTCAGCTGCAGCTGTAACAACATAGCAATTAACACCTCCCTAGTTGAGCAATTAATGGTTCTCTACTGCAGAAGGACACCTGGGCATAGATTTGCTGGAAGAGCTGAACATTTCCTCTCATGATCTAAGTCCAAGGAAGGCTGATTCAGCAACCACCACCTGCGTTTGCAACCATTTCCTCCCATCTGAACCCAGGCAGCAGGTCAGACATTAGCAAAACATCTGCAGGAAACCTCTGGGAGCATTTGAGCAGCTCATCTATCTGTGTACCATAACTACCTAGTCTCAGCGTAGAGCACCGGTCTCCCTATGTGCTTGTTGCATGTGCCAGAAACATGGTCAGGTGTCTTCAAGCAGGAGGGCTGGAAGCTGTGATCAGATCAGAGGGACAACTGGGCTCTGGGGTGACTGAGCACCCACAGAGGCCTCTTTCTGTCAGAGCGCATGGCAGACCTGGACGAGTGACTGTTCTCTTGTGTTTGTCTCTAGTATGCTTAACATTTCCTCTGGGATGTAATTATGAGACAAGAATGACTTGAACTCGAAGATAGGTGCACCTACTGTGCAGTAACATTGACACTTTACCATAAAACAGAAGACAAAAACCTCTAGAAAGCTGAGATGGGGAGGACATAATTTAGAAGTAGCTACGGTTTGTAAGACCAGGTTTCTTTAGACCCAAGCCTTGCTTGATCCAAGAATCTTTTTACCAACAGTGAAGCAGAGTGCAAAGAGCTACCTTGGACCTGGTGCATTTCTCAGCTGAAAACCACAGTCCCATAAACACCAGCTGTATCTTGTGCATCCATATAGGTTGGGATCTCCCATCACAGATGTGTTCTCCAACGCCAAAGCCCTCCCACAGCAGTAGCTTCTCACTATTTCTCAGTTACAACCAGCTGACCACTCTGCTCAGCAGCTCTTGATACTTCAGGTCCTTTGGATGGAAAGAGGTCCAGGAGGACCCACCTGATGCCTTGCACTGGTGAGTTAGAGGTGGCAGTCATGGCATGTGAAGGGCAGCAGCCTCTTTATCCAGCACCGCAACAGCTGAAAGAAAACCAAGAGCTAAAGCTATGAACCAAGAGGTATTTCCCCATTCTTGGCGAGTCAGGTAACCCAGGGCCAGCACATCTGAGCTGCGTACTTCTTAGGGAGCTCTTATGAGAGGGTGGTGTGGATTTGTACCACTTGTAGGTTTTGGTATGTCTCAGCCAGATAAATGGTTTCTGGAGTCATAATCATGATTTTGTATTGATCTTAGAAATGAGGGAAGTCATTTACTGTTTAGGTCCAAGATAAAAGCTCCCTTAACATAGGTCTGATTCATGACCTATGGAAAGAGTATGTTATGCAGTGTTGGTCAGGCTGGTCCCTAGCAGAAGCTGGCTGCTACTGACAGGAATGAACCAGCAGGTACTTAATGTGTTTATCAATGTTTTGTACAGGCAGAATGGATTGTAGACATCTGTCTTCATCAGAGCTTGAACAACAGAAGATGTGTTGCAGAAAGACACCGACGTTCTCCAGGAGCAATTGTTGCAGTTACACAGAGCACTAAAGTACAAGGAACTACCTTCAAACCCTTAGACCACATAAGGAAACTAGTTGTGATCCTGAAAAACAGCTGGCCAACAAATCAGGTACTTTATAGGGCTGGGATCCAAGCTAATGCAGCTTTTGAACTGCAGCTGGCTCCACTCTGTCTGGCTCAGGACATGGGCAGTGGCCTGTGAGCCTGCACCTAACCACAGCATCATGCCCTGGGAGAGGCTCCATTGACAGAACAGTGACAAGGCCTGGTGTTCAGCAGCAAATAAAGCCTTCACAGGGAAAAACTTCCCATTAATTGTTTCTTTAAAGTCTTATCTGGGGAGGCTGCCATGAAATCCAGCAAGAGAGTAAGACAATTGCTCTCATGCCACCTTGCATGATTCACCAAAGAGACAGGAGCACAGCAGCACAGAGTAGATAATTACTCTTTTGAGACTACGTATGTGCTTCGTTTCAGTTTGTTTAAGTGTCTAGTTCTTGCCCACTGTATTCAATCTTATTTTTATTAGGGTCTTAAAACTTGTACAGCATGGAGAAGTTTGTACCTCAACAGGAGCTTTCATAATACAGTGAAATACAACCATAAATGGCAGAAGCGCAGGTTGCTCCCTGGCATTTATATATAGTGCTCTTTTCTTGCCTCATTAATTTTGTAAGCATTTGGGTTTGCTAGAAATCAGTGTAATTTATACTAAATCAGTAAAGCAAGCAAGCTGAAATGCAAATATAGTGAAGCAACTCTTCCATATTGTATGCTGTAGATAGAAAACTGGTTGCCTGAAGAAGGGACAGCTGGCAAAGACACAGAGGCTGTGCTGTGTCACTTACAAACATCTCAATGGACATGTACCAGAGAAAGTTGAGAGCAGGGGTATGATTACAAACAGGGGCTGCAATGGTGGCACAGGGATGCTGTAGGCTGGAGCATCTCCACCTGCAGCCTGTCATACACTAACCCATGGCTCTGGATGTTGAAGAGCGGTGTGCAGTACCCTGTCTCTAGCACACTTCTTCCTATATTGTTCTTCCCCCTACGTGTTCAAGCAGTTCAAATCTGAAGAAAGAAAAAGACCAGTCTGTTTTGCTTTGCAGGCTATATTCCTGTGGGATGCTGCTCCTTAAAGAGCACAGCTGCATTGCTGTGAGGCAAACAAGCCCGCCTGCCATGGTTTGAGTTTGTTCTCTATGGGTGGCCAGATTATATTCTCTAAAAACACCCAAAAAGCCCCTAACATCACAGATAAATTATAACAGGCATGTAGCAGTTCTCCACTCTCCACTTGCTCATTCTGTATAAACACCAGAATTTTACTTTTCTTTCTCTTTGCCATATGTATTTTTAGCCAGCTGCATGTCATTCCTGGTTAAAAAATACTGCTTGGGAAAAAAGAGACTTTGCTTTTTACTGCAAGACAAACGCATTATCAGGTGTGATCCACAGGTCTAGTTCCATTGGTTTACCAAAAAGGACATTTCAAGTCTTTGCAGATTTGTTTTCATATTTCCTTTGACCAAACAGGTCACTAAAATCAGTATATATTGGTGAAATCCATCCCGTCCACTGTTCCCGTGGGAAGGGTCAAAAGGAAATAATAAAGAGCATACCTGTAAGTAATCCTACCTGCTCAGCTTCCTCACACAGAGGTTGCCATTCACGTTATTGTGTTTGCTTCTGAAGAGCAATCAACACAATATTGCTTCTGAGCAGGAAAAGTAGATTTCAGAGAGAAAAACGTTCAACATTATTGAACACATGCTCTTTTACTCCCCCACCCACCCCTTGCAAGCAGCTCAGATAGCAGCATCTTTAGCTTTCTTAGCTAGAGGATGAAGGTAGGCTCCTTTACACCACAGGTCAGAAGTCCAGAGAGGGATGTCACAAGTCAAATTGCTCTGTGTTGCTCACTGAGAATCCCAGAGTTCCCTATTTCTGAAAGCAGGAAGGAATAACAATGCCAGAACTACCTCGGAAGGGCATCAGAAAGCTTAATGAAGTAACGTTTGTCAAGCACTGAAGGGTCCTTAGGTGTTGTGAGTGCTTTTGTGGCATTACTCCATTCCATGCTGGTCTTCCACAGGATTACAGACATGAAGGGCAGAATGTAAAAGTTGCTATTTCCACAGACCTTGTGTTCCTGACTTTGCAGGCTGCAGCACAAAGGCACCCCCCCTCATCCTGCTTGTTTGAGCCTGCTCTGAGGTAGTTAATATTTGCTAGTTGTTGAAATGCTCAGACACATTTCACCCCAAGGTATTTAGAGCTGTGAACTGCACAGGCAAATGAAAGGGACGTAGTAGGAAACACATTAGAGTTCTTCCTGTGATCTTGTGATTCTTTCCCTTAACATTTCTGCACAGTTTCAAGCCAATGATTAACTTTCCATTAGCAAAATAAGGGCTATAAATGACCTGGGGAACTTGCTAGGCGTGCTCTTGGAATAACGGTTCAGGCTTCTGTGCTGCTCCAGCACTGATGCATAGTGGGAGCCCTGAGGCTATAAAGCTTGCTATTACTGCAGTTAAAAGCAGGCAAAACTTCAGCTCAAGGGAGCACAAGGACTGGTGGGGTTTTTTTAACTCCGCAGTAACTGATCAACCAGATTAGGCAAGGCTGGAGTCAGCTGCCTGTACGACAGGGCTGGCTGACCACAAGGCACAAGCCATCAGCTTGGCAGAAGTTTGCCTCCCCAGGTGTCCCTCAAGCCAAGCAAGAACAAGGAGCCTCAGGTGGAAAAGGAGGGAGTTTTGCAAAACAACCACCCCAACCCAACTGAGACCCCCCCCAGAATGAAACAAAACAAAAACCCAATCAGGAAGATAAGAGATACTGAAGATCCTGAGGTGGTGGTGGCTGTGGCTGACCACCATGGGTGACAGAGGGAGAAAGACCCCAGGGGTTGCAGGGCATTGAGCCAATGCTCCAGCATGGTACAGAGTGGGACAGCATAAGATGGCAAGTGTCCACAGGGTAACTGCATGGTTTGCACTCTGTTGATGGTGACAGTGGTGGTCTTGGAGCCTCTGGGTGAGCTGTGTGAGGGAGAGCAAAGTGGTGAGCGTGGTGGGCAATATGGAGGGATGACAACATGTCCCCTGTGTGCCACGGTTTGGTGACCAACTGATCTCAGCTTTCAGGAGCTGCTAAAAACACAGGGAGCATCAGTAAGTACAGTAAAGCTCAGTGTTTTTCCACTTGTGTTCAGCTGCGCTGAATTCTCAGCCTCTGTGTTAGGGCCCGTGATAGAACGGGTGGCACTTAGATGAAATTGCTCACAGGAGGAAATGCTACCAGGTGAGGGTAAGGATGGCAGAATCAGGTTCTTAACAATCTTGATAGAGACTGTAAGCAGCCTAAAGAGAAGCTTAATTCACATGCCTCGGTATGAAGCCTTTTTTATTACACCCACAAACCACCCACAACCTCCAAATTGCTATTCTTTAGAAACACCCTGCAGCATTTTCTGGTTTCCAATATGCAGCAGTGCTGTAAGCTTAGTTGCTGGATTTGTGCATGCACATGCAAAAATAACTAATGGAGAGCTTGATCAGACAGCAGGATCTTTGCTCAAATGACACATTTTAGTACTAAAGGAAATGTATTCTGTTATCCTGCTAGCATGGAATAATGAAACCATAGCTTTTACTTCCTAGCCCTTTTCCCTTCCTTTCCTTTGAGCCTTGCAAGGCAGAAATGATCCGTGGCTTGTAGGCTGCAGCAGCCTGCAGGAGCTTTAAGAATAGCATCAGAAACCCACAAACCCGCACCGTTAATTGGGGACTGGATCACTGGTGACACTTGAGAGAGCCTGGCTGT